CTAGAGGTCAGTAGAGATATAGTTGAAGATTATTTGTCATCTATGAGATCCTAAAGTGTACATCTTAATTCAGTTATTTGGATGTGGTGGGGTGGGGCCTTGAGGTCGAAAGTACTTTGAAACTTAAAAAGATGGATCATGGACTAAAAAAGTGTTGGGAATCTATGTTTTAAATGTTTCCATATGACTATTCTAGGGTCATAGTTTAGATTCTCATATTTTGTTCCCTTACTCCATCGCAACTTTCAACATCCATCTATTTCGATTTTGTCTTCAAGAATGACCAAGTGTGATGTCAGAAATTATCTAGAGAAGATCTACAGTGTTCCTGTTTCAGCTGTACGCACAAGGATCCAGTACTGTGAGTAAATCTTTCTTTGTGCATGTATATTATATTTAGAATATCATTTATTTATAAGCAGACTGTGGCTTTGTTTTAATAGTCAAATCAGTAGTAATGTCAGATTATGTTTTATAAAATTACATTTAATTCACACAGATGTAGCACACACACTCAAGTTGTGATATATATATATATATATATATATATATATATATATATATATATATATATATATATATATATATATATATATATATATATATATTAGTGCTGTCAATCGATTAAAAAAAAATAACTAATTAATCGCACCTTTTTAAAAAAATTAATCGCGATTAATCACATTTAAAATACTGAAACTTGTAATTTTGGCTATTCAAATGTAAAATTAATGTAAACGCAAGACACAAACTATTTAATTATATTATTCAAAATATGATTGTTAATTAGAATTAAAATTCAAAATATAATTATTTAATAGAATTTTTGTTTAACTTGTAACACAGATTTCTTCATGTAAACAACATACCCACAATAAACCATCAAGATCCTGGCTTGACAGCCATATTTATTAAAGAAATTAAAACACAGGCATGTTAATTCCATTTAAATTTCAAAACAATCAATGCCAATAAAGAAAACATTGATTTCCATGTTGGATTCTAAGTGGACTGCAAAAAAATGCCAAAATACAGGAATTGCAGATATGGAAAATGAAAAATTATAATAATTAACTATAGAATACAAACTGTTGCATTCATTGTAAAGTTTTATTGCTGTGAGTTGAGAACATTAGTTATAGAGTAGAAACAATTTTGCTTAATCCTCCTTTACATTCATCCAGTTGCTAAGACTAGGAGTATCCCACAAGTGCACAGAGACTCCCAAATGCCTGCAAATGAATGATAATTTCTCGCAAACCGGTCGTTAAATACATTGCACACCCCTCTCCCTCGCATCCCTCCTAGCTCTTCAGGTAGCCTATGTCGCGTGCAACTCACCCCCACCGTCCTTCAGGTACGTCTCGCGCGCACACGCCCTTACTCAGATACGTCGCTCACTCCACCCCTGACACCCCTCAACGGGCCTGACACAGACACACACACAGACACACACACAGACACACACACAACGCGCTGCAGATGTTTTGGCCACCACGGCCTTCCATTCTGGAGCGACTCTCCTCAGATTCAACACGCTTGATCACATTCATCAAATTTGCTTAAACTAAGCATCCTAAAGTATTACTGTATTTCACAAGGATTCTGACACAACAACGCAAAGCATACGCTTTCGTTGCGTTTAATGAGGAAACACGCTAAACTCGGAGGGCTCATGCTGAAAGGCAGAGTAATGCCCTGTATACTGTATACTGAAACTTGCCTTCAAAAAGTGCTTCCTTGGTCTTATCCACATTTATTGCATGTTAAACACACATCCACCACAACAGGAAGTAAAAAAAAAACCTGCAACTGCGTTAATTGCGTACATTATTTTAACGCGTTAATTATTTAAAATTAATCTCATTCATTAACGCACTAATTTTGACAGCGCTAATATATAATTAATTAATTAATTAATTAATTAATTGTAGCCTACCGTTTAAACTACCTGACTTGCATGGTCTTTGTTTTACCCATAAACAAATTATACAGTTAATGAATAAAGGTAAGTTACACACATAATTACCACCTGTCAATCACTTTTTTCTGCGGGACTCGTGAATAGGCAGTGGTGTTGTTATAATGGCGGTTAAAAAGGTGCACAACTAACAGGAACCAGCCAACAGTATCTGAGGTGTTCGCTAAAATGACGAAGTACTAGTGTGAAAGTAAAAGATGGAAGCAGTTTGCGAGCCGGTTGCTGCTGCTACAGGGATGGGGCAGAGGATTGCGATGCCGGCTTAGCGTCGTGATGTCTATCGGCCATCAGAGATGTATGATGGCATTGTCTAATGACCCAACCATATTATTAATCTTTGTTAATTTTAGACAATGAGCAAAGTCGTTAGTTCTTGATAGCTAATATTCGTTAATGTTATCCCTTAGTTAAAGGTGCAGCATGTACTTTGACACTAAGTGGTTGAACTGGGTATTGCGCTCCTGGTTCAAAACACACAAGCGCAGCTTGCCAGATTGACAACACCAACAGGAGTGTGCCTGACTATCGAGCCTGAAGGCTGATTTAAATTGTGTTCTAAAAAAAGCTTTGGCACACGATAGAAGAAATATTTTCCATAGTAAAAGGAGTTTTTGTTCTAACCAACACCTGAAATTTATATTTTAGAAACAGCTTCTATTTCTTGTGGCTGAACAACAGGACAAACTGACAATGTTCACCTCTGGTACACCTTAATGTGCTTTATTCAGTGTTAAATGCTAAATAATGTGAGTTTGAATGCCATTTTACATGACATTTGTTGGCATACTACTAGGGTTGTAACGGTATGAATTTTTTACGGTATGATAATCGTCTAAAACAATACCACGGTTTCGCGGTATACGTTATTAAATAGTAATTCTCATAGCAAAGACCCTGAAAAGAATAAGAACACGTTTTCTGACTGAACAAAGGTTTTATTTCAACAAACTTTTGAAAGAACCATTTTAATAGAACTATAGAAGTCTTTTATAAAAATAAACTGAAAAATCTCCCATTTTAATAAATTAAATTAGAAGGAATAAACAAGCAAGGTCTTTTAAGATTAGTCAAAAATAAACTTAAACTGTCCTTCCTTATAAGCAGGATAAATGGGAGACCAAAAGTGCAATACCAAGTTTATGGCTGTAAACATGTATTTAAAGCGTTGTTTTTTTCAGTCTAGGTTGTGATAAAGAAATGTAAGCATGTTGAGATTTTCAGGACTTAATCTTGACCGCTGAGGTGAGAGAATGTGTCCACTTGTACAATGAACAAATAAAAAAATAAGAAAATAATAAATAATGTGTCAAAGTCCAAATAAACATGGTGCAAATCCTCAGTAAAAAAATAGATGTAAATATTTACTATACTATAAATAGTTACATAACGAAACTAGATTCAATATGGAACATCCTTAGGTTTTATGTGCCAGCATGGATATGGTTGTCTGTGGATATGGATTTGGATGTGGTTGTATGCAATGCAGACAAACAGCTGCACCTTCATTTGTGTCTTTTGAAAACAGCAAGAGCAGCAGTTCGTCTTTACTGTGTCACTGTTTTGTCATGTTTCTGTGCTGCTGTGCATGCAAAAGTACTTAGTATGAGAATTATTTCATGCAAAACTTTTTTTTTTTTTTGCGTTTTATTAAGCCGCGCAGAAATGTATGCCTATCTCTCATTCCGTGTTGTTCAAAGAGCTCAGTGTTGGTCCACAAACAAAAGTGAAACCTATGCTTATTGGTTGTGATATAGCGAGTTTGAACCAATCTGGGCATGGAGGAGGGACAATGCATCAATGTATCATGTCTGGTTTGTCCGGAGACACAGTGACGAGCGTTTCTTTGTCAAATCAGCGTTGTCAAATTTTGATGACGTATCCGCACTGATTCCGGAGCCTCTGAAAGTCCGTGTTATGTTATGTGATACAGCACTGGAAAGCTGAGATTCTCTTCTTTATGCCAATCTTTGAATTGTATGAATCGGATCAGCGGATCAAAAGTTATTAAACATTTAAGAGCAATACTTATTTTTAGCCGCGGGCGGCTGTCTCGGTCTTTAAGGGTTAAAACCGTTGATATGCAATTGTTCATGGTATGATAATCGTGCACGTTCAAATCGTGGTAGACCGTCATACCGGTATATTGTTACAACCCTACATACTACTAAAAGCAGCAGCAGATAGATTACCTCAGATCTTGAAAATAAAATAAACCGTTTGAAATAAAACTTTTAAACTGTGTGCAGGCCAACACATATCAGTGATTCTGCATGTACATTTAATAATTTTAAAGAGGTTTAATATGAATTAATTAGATTATAAACCTTACCATTTTGTTGGGATGCAGAAAGTGCACTATTGTGTTCCTCTGAATGGCTGGTGCAAACACCTCAGTTGCTTATCACTGCGTATCTCGTCTTGTAGCAAGTTTGTAGGGCACTGGGTTACAATGCATCCTGCTTACCTAATATTTACATTTGTAAGTTTTATATTTTTTGCTAATTAATAACCACCTCATGTGGAACTCTGAATCGGCGTCTCATTTTGGGGCTGTTACTGTCCACCAGAAGTCGCATTTCAGTCATGGACGCATTCTTTGAAAGCCTTTCTGACTGAATGAAGAAAATATGCTGTTTTCCAACAGGGCAACCTGGGTTGCTGAAATATAATTTGCTAAACTGGCATTGGGCTGGTTAAAGAGACCAAAATAAAGACAGCCGTTACAGCACATAACGCACATTTCTGAAGCATAAAATCTGACTTCAGCATTGTTTTTCAGCTAAACAAAAATGTTCACTTAACATCTGCAAACATATTGTGGTATTTTTATGCTTTATAAGAGTCCAAAATGTACATACAGCAGCTTTAATACAAAAAAACACAGATTTAAATTGAAAAGGTACACTTAATATAGTTAACTCACAACTGCATCGTTCACCTCTTCTTTTTAGTGTCTTGTACCACAAAGAGACAGTTTGGTGATTCAGAAAAACAAAGTGTCAAGACCCCTGCATTCTAATCCATTCCAGTTTGTTCCGGCCAGCTGTTTTTGAGTCCTTTGCGCACCCCTCACTATTTTTGCACCTCTTCTGACTCTGTGTTGTTGTCTACTTTCTCAACAACGCGGGACAAACTATACTGCATTGTGTAAAAGAGACAGCGACCGTTCTGTCAAATGGCCTAAACCTTATGAATCCCTTAAACAACAACTGGCTAATGTTTATCCCTTGTTTTGCTCTAAGAGGGTGGTCGGTCACCTAGATAGGGTTGATATGTATGCTAGTCAATGAGAATGATCAATACTGACAAGATGTTTTGGCAGGAGAGCAGGAGTTTGAAATATATGTATAAACATACAGCTAATTCAGCGTACTGTGTTT